GTGGGGGGGGGTGGGAGGGGCAAAATCACCCCTGGTGGAGAAACACTGTTCTGAAGTTTAGAACTTCTAACTGAATGCCTTAATATTTTTTTAAAAAGCAGTATGGTTCAATTATAAGTAAAATAAAACTACATTCTAAATGAATGAAAGAACAAACAAAAATTTCTGAATGGGAAAAAGCAAGCTTCCCAAGAGATTCAGCTAGATTTAGGAAACCACTCTTTGGCATGTGTGAGAATCATCTAGAGAGCTTTGTTAGAAATATAGATTCCCTGACTTCCTCTCTGGAGAACACGATTAATGTGTTTAATAGAACTGATGTAAACCTAAGAATTGCATTTTTTAGTAATAAGGTTGTCAGTAATCACATTCTGAAATACACTGCTTTATAGTTACCTAATGTCTATAAGGAGAGAATAAACCCCTACCAACTTCCTTCCAGTATCTCCTTTTTCCTAGTTCCTTACCTGGCTCACTCTGCTTATGGATATAGTTCTGTTATCATATGAACATTATTTAAGCTCAAATTATTATTTATGGTAATCTTAGGCCACCTACATTTTAGAGTACTATGAGTGGAAGTGCTTGCTCCTTCGAAGCTAATTCACATATTCATCTTTCTGGAATATTCTGAAGTTTCCCAATATATAGCTTCTTAATCTTTGGAGAATGGGTAGGACCATTCAAAAAAGGTCATGCTGATAGTGCCTAGACCATGCTGTTTCTGGCCAAACTTTACATTAAAAGTAATAGCTATACAACATATATATTTTTAAAATAAACTTTTAAAATACCACGTCTAACCAAGAAGCTCAAACAGTATTTCCTTAAATTGATCATGCTTACTTGAAGAAATATCAGATAAGAAAAAAAGTAGCAGACATGTTACTTATAAGAAGGCTTTCATTTAAGTGGCTGGTTATTTACTTACCTGATCACCACGTTTCAGTCCTGCATCAGCAGCTTTGCTAGCAGGTTCTACTCCTTCGACAAAAATACCAAATCCCTTCTCACTTCCCCCATTAAGGCTGAAATGCAGAGGTGATTCCCGGGAAGCCTTCTGCAGCACCACCTGTCTCCACTTGGCCTTTGCAGCGCATGCAATATTCAATAACCGGAGATGACCATTCATTTTCTAGAAAGTAGAAAAGGGTAAGATGTATACAAAAGAATGTGTCTACTCTTATAGGCTTTTAAAAAAATCAGCTAAAACTTTTAGAATTAGAGGTAAATTTGAAATACAAAGTAAAGAACATATAAGCCAGGATAAATAAAACTGAAGAAGGGAAAACTTCCATCCCAGAGCACTCTCAAGAGTATCTCTTAATATGACTTTTAGAAACTTCCAGATAATCACAGGTTAGAAAGATTTCAAAGTCATGTCTCATTTAGAGAGGGATGACAAAAAAAATTACTTCTCATTCCTGAACCTTCGTAATATATACTCTACTACTCTCTTGCATATCTCCTGGCTGTTATATAAAACCAGAATCTTTTAAAATCTTTATCTACAACTTTAAAGGATTGGAACCATTTTCCCAAATACTGTCTAATATTCAAAGACAGAGTCCAGGAATGTTACTCCTATTACTCCTACATTAATTTAGATCTTCCTTAAACTTAGTAATATTCTAACTTCCAGGTTCTAAGACCAGTTTAATATTCAACTATTCTCAAATAGTGCAATATGTATAAATTTCCAGTCCAAAATAAGATGCTAAAGTTTTTCCAGGGTAGGAACCAAGTCTTACAGCTGTTCTGACCCTATTTAATACCTTGGAATATAAAAAAAAAATTCAATAAATACCTGATGACCGACTATTAGTAAAAAATAAATTCACAACTATAAGGCAGCTTCCACTTGTTCATTAGCACCTTAAATATCTACAGTCAGCCCTGGAAGACCCAAGTGATGGTGGTGAGCTTCTATGGCCTCATAATCAAGTTCCCCAGTTCCATTCATTCTCCCCATTTTGCATAAAGCACATGTGCTGCTGAAAAGGCCACAGGAACCAAGATGCAGGAAAAGGGACAAAAATCTGCCATCTGACCTTTCTTTATGCAACTCAATCCACTTATACTCTAAGAGTAATAATAATTCTTGAGCATTTGCTATATGTCAGGTTTTGTTCTCAGATTGTTACATTCATTAGCTCATTATAATTCTCATAGCAATTCCAATAAACGAGGGACTACCACATATGAAATAAGACAACTGAGTGAGGCACAAAAGGTTGGGCAACTTCTAGTGGTGGAGTCTGAATGTTAGTTTAGGCAATTTGACTCCTGAGCTGATTATTTACGTCCTAAAATTTCAAGCTGCTTGGAGCAGACAATCCAGTTACAGTTCAAAGTTTTATATCAAACAGGGAGAATAAAACAGAATTATAAACAGCTGCTGTGAAAGTTAAGAGGACTTTGAGGGGATTACTTTTGGTGTTGTTTATTTAGAACAAATGAAATCACATGCAGGAAGGAGAATTACAAAATCTAAAGTAGATCTGATATACAAGAGAGGCTTTAAGGTTGCATAGAGTACCAAAGAGCAAGACTGGAAAAAGAGAATTCCAGCTTGAGAGAACTAGCAAAGAATAAAAAATAATCTGGTTGGTTATAATCAAGGATGCATAGAAAAATGGCTGAAAATGTAGATGAAGGACCTGAATATATGCATGACGAATTACTTTGGTAGAAAATACTTTGGTTTATTGACAAAGAGTAATATTCATTTCATTTATGATTTAAAAACAATCTTTTGGCCACACAGAACGGACCAGAAGAGAAACTAGAACTAAAATTAGCAGGCTATTATAACAGATTAGGTATCAGGAAATGAGGCCCAAAACTAGAGAGAAAGAAACAGCTGAGAGAGAGACCACAAGAAATGTGACCTAGGTGACTTTAGCAATTGACTGGACATCTAGGCCAGTGAATTCAAGGAAGAGAGGGGCCCACATGGGCACCAGAGTTTATAAACATGAGTGACTGGGAGATAACACTGTCATTAGTAGGAGTCAGAAAGCGGCATGATTTATGTTTGGTTTGGAGTGGCAGAGAATGAGAAAAGGAATAAAATATGGATTTGGAAGTTCTCAGACAGACATTCAAGACAGGAGAAAATGAAAGCTTTTCTGAATTGCTGCTCTTGGGGTGGGGTTGGGTAGGGGAAAATCCCTAAATTCTAAAGAAAATAAATTATTTTGAGCTTTACCGTATCTTCCAGATTTTTTTCAAATTCTTCCAGAAATCGAGTCATAGCAGGATCACCTTCAAAATCATTAAAATGATTATTTACCCATAATAATACAATCCGAGTTACCTGTGGAAACATAGAGCAGCATACTGTTATGAGAGGCATTCTTTCACAAAAGTAGATTCCCAAAGCACATCCAAAACTGAGGGGAAACTGCCTTTTAAGGCTAACCCCCTGCCCCCTTTCCTGCACACAAAAGGTTCATTCTAATAGAGATGTGGTTTAGTTTGAGCTTTTATTTCCTTGGGTACACAAGCAACAGAGAGAGCTAAGGCTCTGTACCCTCAGTAAGAAAACACAAGCCTGTATGCTAAAATCTAAGAAAGTACATGGGATGTGTTATTTCAGACAGTATCTTAAAAAGTAAGCTTCTAAGGGCAGGCAAACAGATCAAAAGTATTTCTATAGCTAAGAATATATTTAACCAAAATTATTTTAAAAAACAAATCTGAAACTTCCCTCATTTATGGATACTGTGAATTTTCAGTTATGAATTGATTTGTTTACTTTGTGTCATAGATTAAGAGAAAATTAAAAAACAATGGAAGTTAATGAATAATGTGCCTAGCTACCAATGTAATTTAAGTCACATATTTTTAAAACTGTAGAATACACATAAAATCCACCATTTAAACCACTTTAAATGTATAATTCAGTGGCATTTAGCACATTTACAGTAGTTTGCAAGTCACCCCTACCTAATTCCAGAACATTTTCACATCTTATTTTGATCAAGCAGTTACCTCCCATTCTGCCCTCTCCTCCGCCTCTAGCAGCCATCAATTTGCTTTTTTGTCTCTGTGTATTTGCCTACTTTGGGTATTTTATATAATATGTGACCTTCTGTGTCTGGCTTCTTAGCATAATGTTTTCAAGATTCATAAATGTTGCAGCATGTATCAATATTTCATTCCTTTTTATGGCTGCATATTTCATTATATGGCTATACCACATTTTGTTTATCCATTCATCAACTGATGAATACCTGAATTGTTTCCACCTTTTGGCTATTGTCAATAGTGTTGCTACGTACATCGGTATGTATTTTTGTTTGCATACCTTTTTTCAGTTCTTTTGGATATATACTTAGGAACAGAATTACTGGGTTATACGATAAATCTATGCTTAACTTTTTGAAGAACAACCAAACTATTTTCCACAGCAGCTATACCATTTACATTACTAACAGCAATGTATGTGAATTCCATTTTCTCTATATCCATATCCTTGGCAACACTTGCTAGTTCCTTTCTTTCTTTTAAAGCCATCCTAGTGGATGTGAAGCAGAATCTCACTGTATTCTGGATGTGCATTTCCGTGTGACTAATGATGTTGAACATCTTTTTTCATGAATTTGTTGGCCATTTAAGTATCCTCTTCAAAAACATGTCTATTCAAGTCCTTTATCCATTTTTAAATTGTTTTTTTGTTGTTGAGTCATTAAGAGTTTTTATATTCTAGATACCAAACCCTTACCAGATACATGATTTGCAAGAATATTCTCCTATGTGTTGTCCCGACTTTGTTGATAGTGTCCTTTGATGTAGAAAATGTTTTAATTTTGATGGAGTTGACCTACGGTTTTCCCTTTGTTGTTTATACTTAGGGTATCACACCTAAGAAACCATTGCCAAATCCAATGTCATGATTTTTTACACATTCTTTTCTTCTAAGAGTTTTATGGTTTTAGCTGTTATATTTAGGCCTCTGATCTATTTGAGCTAATTTTATATATGGTGTAAGGTAAGGGTCCAACTTTATTCTATTGCATGCAGCTATCTAGCTGTCTCTTAATCTTTGTTCATTCTTAGCATCCTTTATTTCCTCAGCACCAAAGTAACCATGTATACAGGGAGAGGAGGGAGGCAAGACTGTGGTTTTGGACACTTGAGTTTCCTAAACAATAGAATTTCACAGCCCGGCTGCATATAACTTATTTCATTTAAAATATAACTCAGACACAACAAGCACTTATGGCTCTACTTTTATTTTCCTTATAATAACTGACTTCCTACCCATTTTCAAGGTGCTACTAGTCTTTCTATTATATTTACAAATACCCATAAAATAAGGTAAGATAATCTATTTAAAATAGCAAACAATATTAATGCAAAAAATTCTCAAAGGTAGTTAAATAAGTCACAGCAGATATAACTTAAAGTCAAAAGACAAATTATTTCCAAACAAATATGAAGTCTGTAAATAAGAAAAATCAATGTATTCTATTTTGGGGCTTACAAACAATATGAGCCTTGAAAAAAGGTGCATATTCTTTCTAAACTATTAATCAACTTTTAAATGTTCTATTCATCTCCTTCAGAACAACTAAATATTTTGATAAAGTTAAAAAATACTCTCGTATGACTATCATATTTTCTGAATTTACAGCCTTATTTCGGTTTTTCTTTTAAGGCTCATATACACTTTTAACACGCTATTTGGTCATAAAAGCAACTACACTGAGATACATCAATCCTGACTCATTTTTTAGGTGAATTAAATCTTATCAAAATAAACATTCAATTTGTCAACAGCAAAAGGTTTTATGAATAAAATTTAAAGGTTATTATCACTTTCATGCCCTTTATAAAACAAACCTTATCTCTTAAGCTGTCAATTTTAAACCATTCCAATAGTTTGATCCCAACATCCAAAGGACTTTCAAGAAATGTCCTATAGGTTAACAGAAAATCTTCTATATAAGTTGGGTCCACAATGGAATGCTCTTCTATTAAATGCATGATGAGACGCTCAGGTGTTGCCTAAAAAGCCAAGAATAAAAAAAATTAGAAAATAAACAAATAGCTCAAAAAAACCTCCTATTAATTACTTCCTTCTGTAGCCACTTCATCAGACAAATCCTCAAATCAGAGTTTCACCTTTAAAACCCTTAGCACAGGGAGCAGGTAGTCTCTGTAAGTTGTAATCCATCAGCACCCAGAGGTTTAGAGAGAGAAAGGCAGAGGAATAAAAATTTACTCAGCATAGCTGTTTTTATTGGCATTTCTTCATAGCAGTGCTTTTGACCGTCACTGATTTACTCCTGGTGTGGACTGTTACTGCCAATTAAACTGCAATGGGGGGATATCATAGTGACTGAGATAAGTTAAACTTAAAAAACCACCACACCCTAAAAACTTTCCTCCAAATTTAATCATACTCCAAAATCTCTTCTGCCTCAGGCTATAGAAACAACACACCAGTTTAAGATAGCATGTTTTATTGTTGTAACTTGCCACAAATAGAATTTTCCTCTTCTAGTTTCTCCATGCTAATTCATCATCTTGAGAGGGACCGGAAGTTCTATAGATAGTTTTACATTAATTCAGAGTTTTAACTGCTTGCCTTTCTCCAAATTCATAAAAAGGAACAAACAACATTTATCTACTACTCATCTTTGAACTTCTAAATCAACGTAAAAACTTCTTTGGAAGCCTTTTCAAAAGTGGGTACAGAACAAATTTAGTAATAAACAAGCTGCTGAGCCAAATACAAAAACTAACTGCTTCCCATAACCTCAAATTTCAATTTGTTGCATTCCTCTAAACAATCTAATTGGTCAAAATTACTGTATGGTAAACATAAGCTAATACTAACAGTGTTCTTATCTAAGAACTTTTTTTTTTTTTAAAGTATCCACTTCTAACAATGTAAATCATATCTCTAGAAGAAAGTCAGAAGTAAGCTTCTTTATATAAGCTATTTAAGGAAAAATGCAACCATACATCATCCCTAATCTTCTCCCACCCTCCAAAACACTCTAAGAGAATCAAATTTGGCATAACATTTAGGTCAATAAGGGCCTGAGGTCATTTATACCTGGTTGTTAGATCATGTATGACTAAGCCAGGAGTGGAACTGACCAACACGTAAAGAGAGGCCATTGTTCTGATTGGCTAAATCACTAAGGCAGGAAAGCTGTGGAGACTAGGCCACATATTTAAAGATGAGTCCCACAGTCATGCAGAGGCATGTCCCTAGGGTGCTCATTAGCATCCAACAAGGTGGGATGCTGGGAGACAGGCTGTGAAGAACTGGCAGGTAAAGGAGATGGCTAGTATGGTTATACTGACATGGCAGAGACTGGTTATGATGATCAAATAAATAACTATACAGAGCATAAAAAGAGCCACTGTTGGAGAAGGTATTTACAAATATAGAAAGGAAAGGCTAAAAAAACCTCTGTTGTACAGCACCGGAATTGGGAGTACTGGTATGAACTCATGATTGTTACAGATGGATGGATATACAAAGTTATAGATATGTGTTTATATTTAATACACACACGTCTTTCCTAGCTCTGTCTGAGGAGAGGCTCTAAAAACAATGATACCTCAGTAGCAACGAAGAGAGTGAGTGTCCAGATTTTGGTTTTCAAAATGTTATTTCCCACTAGAAAAATCCAGGGATATCTGGAGAAATGGCTGATTCCAAAGCTGGAACAGGAAAAGTATAAGACAAAACTGGAACATCCTGTTTTGACAGATAGTAAGGAAACTCTCAAGTGATGGGAATGTCAAATGGATACAGGAGTCAGCCTTAAGAGGGTCCTACTAGCCATATCTGGGACAATTTGACCATCAAAAAAACACTGATAGTAAGGGAATACAACACAAGCCCATACCAATACAGTTAAATTAATGGATGAGACGAGACTGCTCTCTCTTATAGAATGACAATAAATGTAGAAGAAATAATGGAAATACAAAATCACCACTTTAGGCAGCAGCAGTCAATGAAAGATGTTTGCAGAACATACTGCCAGGACCCCGGAACATCTCTCCTCCACATACTGAATGACAAAGAGGAAAATAGTGACTTTACAGTGAAGAAACTTGACAGAAAGGTGATTACGGTTAACTTCACCAGTGGTGGGACAGGTTGGCATTCTGTGCTCCCAGACATGAGAAGAGCACATCATTGCTTATAGAATTCCTGATGGGAAAGCGTAACTTGAGTCTGGTCACAAGGAAGCACTGAAAAGATTCAGGCTGAGGGTCATACTACAGAATGTAAGGTCTGTATTCTTTACAACTACTGAGAATATGAACAGGGAAAGAATGTTCCTAGAGCAGAGTAAAGTGAAATGACAACTAAACCCTACTGTGTTCCTGGATGAGATTCTGGACCAAAAAGGAAAGAGCCATTATTGGGACAGTTAGCAAAAATTTAAATAGGTACGTGAGCTGAATGGTTTTACTTTACAATGTTCATTTCCTAACTTGAAAAGTTCTATGGTATTTACGTAGGAGAGTGGTGTTTTTAGGAAATACACAATGGGATATTTAGGAGTGATAAAAATCACATTTACAGATTGCTCTCAACTGGTTCAGAAAAAGACTGCTGATAACAAAGAAAATGCAAAGAAATGTTAACAGTTTGGGAATCTGAGGCAGGGAGCTCTCTATACTGTTCTTGTAACTTTTCTGTAAGCTTGTAACTATTTAAAAATAAAATGTTAAAAAACACGAGCTCCCATAAAAAGTATATGGCAGTCCACCTATATGTTCATCTTTTCTACATACAAAGATTATGCTTATCAGTTTAGGAAAAAAAAAAGACAGCACTGAAGAATGCCTGACTCCTGAGGAAAGACCAATCTGACATCAGTCCCTCATATTATTAAAGAAGTGGCTACATTTGTAATGAATAACATTACTTATTTTGCAACCAAGACTAACTTGAAAAGAGAAATAGTCATGTGTTTATTTTCTCTTACAATTATAATTGCTCTATTTTACATCTAGAGGTCTTTAAAGACAAGAGAGTGAGGGGATGGGGTGGCAAAGAGTAGAGGACAGAGGGAGTTAGAGAAAACAGTATGGACATCAATATTCAGACTCTACAATGTGCTAATGCTTTTGATTTACCTCATTTGGCCCTAATAAAGCCTTGCTGTACCATCCCCACTTTCAAATACAACAACTAAAGTTCAGAGAAGTTAATACCTATTTCAGTGTCACAGCGATCCAGTAACACTGCATCTTCATAGGATTCCTTATGCCCTTATGGTTGGTTATTTCACTTTCTGTTTTGTTTCTACATATTGTTATTTTTGATGAAATTAACTTCAGTTATCAATGGATCATAAAATAAATCTAAAAAGGAAAACTCTGACCAGTAGATTCTAAAAAAGTATCCTCTCCATACCGATATTAAATGGCAATGTCATCCTTCATCATTAAAATGTGTAAAAACCAACTTAGAAAAAGGCAAAAGAACTGATACATTTATTTAAATTAGATTTCAAAGTCAGTAAATTATCTTGCACTACTCAAAAAGTGGTTCGAAACCATTTAATTAAGATGAAAGCTTTATTCTACCAGTCACTAGAATAACAAGTAAAAACACCCACCTTGATTACAATGTGTCCTTTCCTAGTTCCGCTCCGATCTAGTTCACGGTGCTCATGCACCATAACAATTTCTCCCTCTTCTTCAACTTTATGGGTATTTTTTTCCACATGATTTAAAATTCTCCAGTAATCCTGCTGGGCTATGCAGACGAACTGTCCGAGAACAACATGGGGACAATTAATAAACCTATAATACATAAATATATCACTATGCACCAAGGCAGAGCAGAAAGGTAAGAAATCAAGTGGCATCAGTTCTCTTTATTCAATTCCTTTAATCCTTAACAAAAATCAAGGTGAAATAAATAATTCACACAGAAAGAGACCAAAGAAGTTTTTGAATTTCAATTCTGCTCTAAAAGGAGAAGTGAACAGCCACTCCTCTCAAAACTGACACTCTGCAAAGAAAACATGAAGCGGGAGTAAGTTCGAAACAACTCAGAAGTTCCTATTTCTTTCCTTTATGTAAAAAAAAGGAATGAGCTGGCTAATATCAGATAGAAAGTTAACAAACCAACATTTATTTGGTATGTTCTCTTTTACAAGTTTACGGTTTGTTCAACTGCAAACATTTGAGTTAGATATAAAATCTAGTTTCCTTTATTAATTGTGAACTTTTGAAACTCATAATTTTCAAATGAAGCTATTTTATTTTAAGGAGGGGAAAACAGGCTCAGGCATTTTAAATCAACAGACGAGAGTACATGACCAAAGAAATAAGCTTACCTGACAATCGTCTACTTTAGTCCTAACAACTCCACGCATGTACTGCTTATCCAGAGTGGGAGTAATCCCAAAACTATTTCCCATAAAGAGATTTTCAACTTTTCCATCTGAATGACTGATTTCTACAGTGCCATTTAAAATAACATACCACGAGTCAAGCTATAGAAAAAAAGACAGGTTTTAAGACTCTTATGAAAAAGTTATATGTTAACTTTGAAAAAATAATCAATAAATAGAACTTGTACAATTTAAAAAAGAAAAAGATTACATTACTAAATACCCTGTCAGTAACACCCTGTGTCGGTCTATGCAAATCACCGACGTTTACTGTACTCTTTCTTTTTTTAGTCATCAAATGAATTCAGGGACTTTCGTTATTGACTAAATGATGCAATGGATTAGGATGATAAGCTCCTGAAATTTGAAACCAGACCCTGACACTGACTACTAACTTTGGGCTATGTTATTGAACCTCTCTGGGCTTCAGTTTCTCTATTGCTAAAATGGGCATAATAGTACCTATAATAGAACTTTTGTGTTAATTAAATGAGTTTATACATACTAAGCGCTTAGAACAGTGCCTGGCACATAGCAAGCACTCTAAAATAAAATAAAATAAAATAAAATAAAAAAAAAATAAAAAAAATAAAAAAATAAGGAATTGTAAGATGACAAGTTCCTTGCAATCTGTGAAGTCAAGGAAGGGTTTGTCTAATAAATAAATAGTAAATAAATAAATAATAAAATAAAATAAAAATAAAATAAAAATAAAATAAAAGGTAGCTAGTGATTAATTCCGAATGACTACTAAAAGCTCAAATTTTAAAGCATATCTAATAAACACAGTATTCAAAATTTCTCCTAATGTTAACACTGCCTTCATTTATACAGAGGCATTTAATACTCCAAGGAGACATATTCTAAAGGCCTTCTGTGTAGCAATGAAAGACCACTTATTCTCATTTAGTATCCCTCTTATTAGCCTGAACTTATAACAGTTTTAATATAATTTAAGGGAAATCTGAATTATCAGTTCTGAAGGACAATCAGTGGCAGTAAGACATATTTTTTCAAAAGTGTGTTTTTGGTTATTTCAAAAATAAAACACACTCATTGAGGTATACATGGATACATAAATTACTCGAGGGCAGATATTGTGTCTGGTTTTTCCATCGCTATACTCTCTGTATCTACTTAGTACCTAATATTTTTGCAGTATTTTTTAATATATAGACAATAAGTTTTTAATTATGTTATGAAAATAAATTATAGGAAATAACTTTAAAATGCAACAAAGTCATGACAAACATTACCACTGAATTTCCTTGGGAGGTGAGATTGCAATGCTCAAGATAAATATCACATATATACATCAAAACATCAAATTATCTTTGCATTCACATATTGACATGAGCCATAAACATTCCTTCACAGGGACTATACTTATTAGCCTACCACAAACCTCAAAACTTTTAATACAAAATTGTTATTTATATATTTATATTTATAATTCATATATATGCCCTACCTGTGATTTTAAAAAATAAAAGCTATACACTGTACAGACACTTTTAAGTCATAGCTGTAGACAATATTTTTGGATAGAATTACTCCCCCAATAAAATGAATGGCATATTTTATGGACATGAAGGTTAAACAAATTTTTGCTGGTAGAATTGTGGAAAATTAAGAGATCAGAAAAATCTGTGAAAAAGAAAAGTTCCTCAAATTTTCACTATTTACACAGTTGTTAAAAGTTTATTTCTCTCCTATGTTTATGTTTTTATATTTAATTGAAATATTTAGACTATCCTCCCTTTTAAAAAATTAATACTAAATTCGTGTGTTCATCGAGGTTTTTTTTTGGTGCATATCCTATGTGCCAGATGTTTTCTAGAACATGGGGAGAAAACATGTAAAGAAAGCTAGGGATAAGATTTCAGTCCTTAAAGAATTTCCAACAAACCTTAAAATAACTGGAATACCTACATAATATTTAATCCTGTGGCTGTAAAATAATTTAGTTAACCACCACTTATAACTGGACTGTATTTTGGTCATTTCCAATTTTTACTATTGTAAATATGCTGCAATGAACATCTTTTGGCATAACTCTTTGAGTTTTATCTTATAATCTGAGGAAAAAACACTCTTAAGTGGAATAAGAAGTTAGAAACTGTTAATACTTTGAGGCCCATATTAAAAATACCTAAACGACTTTCCAGAAACGCTATTAGCAGTATATGGCAATGTTCCCTGACATCTCAGCATTAATTTTTATCAGTCTAATAAAAAAAAAAAGTGACGTACTTCCAAACAGCAATATCACCTTTTAATTCCTCTACATTCTCCTTCCACCTGTCTACAAGCTGTCATCAAGCATTTCTGAACACAGAATTACCACATAAATGCCTCAAATGTCGGCAGTCCACTAGGAGGCATAGATCTCTCATTCTTTTTTAATAATATATAATATACAAAAGGGATAAGGAAAGTTGAGTAAATACTTGACAAGCATTTTAAACAATAATGATATAACTATACAAATAGAATGAAGAATTTATAAAAAGTCTTACAACTTAATTTAAGAAGGAAAAACAAACATGGTTCAATGAATATTATCTATTAAATGTTTATTCTGTGGAAGGTCCATTGCTAGGAAATCAAAATTAAGACAAAGTACATAAAACAAAAACAAAAATAAAAACTTACCTCTTAAGAAATTTTAACTACCCCAAACTCAGCATTCATTTAAAATATTGTATAAATTTTAAGTCAGGATTTACACAAATTTATGGAAATTAAATTATTCTAAAAATTAACTCTCATACTAAATAATGTATAACATTTATTTGCTAACCTACCTCTTGTCCATCTTCAAGAATAATAGCTCCAGCCTGCTCTACCACTTCAAAAATCATCACTGAGCAGAGTTCTCTCCTTACAGACATGGTCATATTTGCAAAAGCAGGGAGCTGGTGCATAAATTCCAGTAACTGTTCTATTAAAAAACAGAAATTGTAGTATAGACACCATCAAGGACTACACTTTAAAGATATAATAAAATCTGGAATTCAATACCCAATTTCCTAATCAACTTATGAATTTATGCTGCTGAAGCAGAGAAACTAAGACGCAAGATGACTGTTGGTTTAAAAAAAAAAATCAGTTACTTGGTTTATATATATATTCAAACTCACAAGAAAAAATAGGCATATTATAGGATATAAGAACTCACAACCTACACGCAGAACCAGGAAACTGCAGATTCAGATGAGGCTGGAGCATTTATCTAATTTTTCTAGCTAAGATGCCAATCCATGGAGGTTAACTAGGATGATGTCCTTTGATCTAATAGATTAGTAAAAAAGTTGTATAGTTCTTATTGGGCTAGAGTTTTTAAAAAATATATTATTAACAAATTCCAATAATTACAGATAACCAATGTGAAATTCTAGTAACACAGGCAACTCACTCATTAATTAACCAACAAATGTTTATGAGTGCCTGCCTTGAGCCATTCCCTGGTATAGATACACAAGTATAAAGATAAATATAAGGGAGAAACACATATAAGCAGTCAACTAAGGGCTGAAATAGAAATAACTATAAGGTGTTATCCACCTACAGATAATTGGGAGTTAATTATATTTCAGTTTCTCAAAGCTTTGTGAAAATAGCATAGTATACAATTCTTTATCATTAAAAATGCGCGTTCAGCTTCTGTCCAGATAATGTTCACGACAGGAATCTAAACTGTGGGTCACTTAACTATATTCTGTCATTAGAGTGGCTCAAATGTACTGATCTCTACTCACATAGGTTATAATTAGTAGTAGTAGCAGCAGCAGCAACTTCCAATTTGAAGGACAGCAATATGACTATTATAAAAGAGAAATCTAGGGTAAAATCTTACCTGAATCATAACAACATGTAATGGTACTAAGTACTCTTTGTCCTTAAAGATAACATTAGTAACTTTGGTATTATTCAACCTCCCAAAGTATTGTAACTACTTCTGTAAATAAGTTACATAAAAGAAAATTTATAGTTTTAACCAAAAATTATATACAGAAACATTTTTTGCAAGCTAGAGAAGCAAAAATATTTTTGATAACAAAAGAAATTTAAAAAGCTAATTTGTAGGCATTAAACACTGATGCACTATGTTTTAACTGTCTTATGGACATGAAGGGGACATTACTGTAATGGAATCAAAGTTTTTTTTAACAAATCTAAGCAGCCAGGATGTGAGGGTGATCTGGCTGTGACATCTGTCACCCTACTGATTGCCAGGATTCAGTTGATCTGGCTGGCTAGGTGGGTGTCCCCTTCTCCCTCACAGCTCCATGAGCATCCCTTCCAAAGCTGTGTGCTTGGTTGAGGAGGACCCTCACCCATACAGAAGGACCATTCTGTTGTCAAGGGCATAATGAGTAGCTATTCTTCCCTGCTAGGCCCTCCAAACAAGCTCCTGAATTGAGGCAACGAACCTCAAAGATGGCCCTAAATGATCCCTGCCTCCTGATATTTATGTCCTTGTACAGTCCCCTCTCATATTGTATGAGGGGTGTTGTGCATGACAAATGGAAGTTGGAAGAAGTGATATGTCACTCCTGAAGCCAGATCATAAAAGACATTGAGGCATCTGTCTTATTCTCCTTTGGATTGTTTGGGGGAAGCTGGCTGCCATGTTGTGAGGACATTTAAGCAGTCTCTGGAGAGGCCCACATGGTAAGGAACAGAGGTCTTGGACCAAAAGCCATGTGAGCCTTGGATGCAGGTGATCTAGCTTAGCCCAGCCAAGCCTCAGATGACTGCCAACATTCTGATTGCAGTCTCATGATACTGAGCTAGAACCACTTAGCTAAGCCACTCCTGAATTCCTGACACACAAAAAGTATGAAAAAATAAACGTGTGTTGTTTTAAATCACTAAATGTTGGGGGCAATTTGTTATGCAGCAATAGATAACTGTATCTAAATTAAACTATAAAATTCTTAAAGTGAACAGATGTATTTCTTACCAATGTCATCATCAGTTTTGTCTGCAGGTTCTTTTTCAAGACATTCTCGAACAAGATCTCGCCCCTGCAGTGGATCTGTTCGATCAATCTCTTCATCTTCTTCTTCTTCATCTTCAGAATCAACAGGTCCTTCAGGAAGACGTGTTAAATCTACATCTCCTACCTCACTTTCTGTAGCCTACAGAAAGAAATCTTGATCACTTATCATTTGATGTTATAATGTCATACAGTAATCAAAACTATCCCTCCTTAATAAATATCCCTCCCTCTCTGCAGTTCCTGGGCATAAAGTTTAACTCCCTAATAACCAGATAAGAATTTCAAAATTTATCCACAATGTCCAGCATACAATACAAAACTTAAAAGACTGGTGAAGAAGCGGGGACATGTGATCCATAACTAGGAGAAAAATCGATTAGTATAAAGACACCCAGGAATGACAGAATTGATGGAATCAGAAGACATGAACTTTTGACATTCATTATCAATAAGTTCAAGAATTTAAAAGAATATACAAACAATTAGGGAGAAAATGGCAAATCTCAATAAAAAAATGTAAACTATAAGAAGAGTACACTTGAAGAAGGGCAAGAAAAACTACTCACACTGAAGCAGAGAGGAAAAAAGCCCCCCCAAAATAATATTTAAGAGCCTCAGAGGATTGCATGATATCAAAAAGTTGCTACAAAAAATGTAGTTCAAAAGATATACTATATTCATTAAGGTAGGGTACACAACAGATCAGAGCCCTGGCCTTTTGACTACTTTATTCTGGCACTTGGAATATAACAGATCATCAAGAAGACTATGAGAAAGGAATTAAGTAAAAACAAAAAAGTATATTGGTGAAAGAGCTAGTAAGACAAATATTAAACTTCTTTTGTTTTTCCTTTCCCGCAGTATGAATGTGTCTCTATGTTTATGTGTAAACATAATTTGGTGAAACAGACAGTCTGAGGTGATTTTCTGATGACTTGGCCTTCCCTAAATAAACCACCAGAGGATATCCTTTTCCTGTTTGCATCCAGATAAACATGAAGCTACAATAAGAGGAACTACAGGTTAAAATGAAAAAGTTATACAAACTTACAAAAACCGTATTTTCAAACTTAGAGCAAATATTAAGCCAGAATCTTAGGCTTTCGGTACTTCATTTTTTTCTGCATTCCCACTTTTAATATTTCGTTCAATCTTTTTCAAGGACCACTTAGTCCTTATGTTTCTTCTTTGTCTTTCTGGTCAGGGCAAGAATCCTGTGAAATTAATCCTCAGCAGTGCTGTCCAGGCTGGCCTATTCCATAACCTCTACGACAGGGTAGGCGGGCAAAGTAAAGCCATCCCCTGCCCCAGATGATCAAGCTGTAGTTAGTAGTGAGCCCTGCAAGCAATACTGGCTTCTACTTACAAACATTATTTTACTAAAAGTTTCTAGATTGCTTCCTAAATGCCAAAACTGTGCTTAATTCAGCATTGTATATACAAGTAAGAAACAAACTCTGCCTTCCACAAATTTACTATGATGATGAAAAATGTCAAGTGTACATGTAACTACACTAAAAACAAAATCGAAAAAGAAATATGACCCTCAGAAAAACTGCTCCACAGCAGTTCCCAGATATGAGACACAATACAAAAACGTCATCTAGGTGGAGCTGCAGGCAGAACAACATTACCAAACACAGAGCTAGGACAAGGCAAAAACGTTCAGGGAACAGCCATATGTATCAGTCATGGACCAGAATCTACAATGTGTAAACAGAGAATAGTAGGTTATAAAACCGGATTTGCAAATTGTGGTTAGGAAGGAAAGGCTTGGTATTTGAATATAAATTTAAAATAAAGAGTGTAAATGAGGTAAATGGTGAAGCATTGAAGCTTTTTAAGTAGAGGAGTAACGTTGTAATTGTTTTTGCAATTATTTCAGTGGGAGTTAAAAAAAAAAGTCGTCAAAGATAACAGATTTTGATTAGGACACAGATGATATTCTTAGCAGAAACATTAAAGACCAATGAAGAAAATGTGGTAGGGAAGAGCCAGTCGAGGTGTCAGAAGAAGACCCCAGTGGAAACGTGGTGCCAGGATTCTGGAGAGGTTGGCAGGAGAGCTCTGAATTAAGGAATCGCATGGCCAGAGGTAGGAACTGGAGCGCCGGGATTTTTAGGAACACGTTTAGTTCCCACAAAGAAGCTAAAAAAAAAATAGGTGGGGGATGAATGTGTGCCTCAGGTTACTTAAAAGTATAGTCACGCGTTAGGGGAGGGCTGTGGACGGAAGCACCATTGGAGAGAGAGTAGTCATCAGGAGAAGGGAGGGAGGAAGGAAAGGAAAGAGGGAAGAGGGAGAATGGGAGAGACGGGCAACAGAGATGGAAAGAGATCCAGGATATAAAGCTTGAGAAGGGAAATAACAGACAGGAGAGGGGAGCGAAAGAGAGAGGAAGGGACGGGAGCAGGAGGGACAAGCGGTGAGTGTGTGCACAGGAATGTGTGTGTGAGGCGGGGAGGGGCAGGCTGTAGGGCTGCCCTCCTCCCCAGGCCTGACCCCTTTCACCCTGGCCAACTCCAGCCCTCAGCCAACTCTGGGTGGGCACAGGGTGGATGACCAGTATGCTGAGTCTCCTTAAACCACCCAGAGCTAGCAATAAATTCAACATCTTAACTGAGTCCAGCTTTTCAACATCGCAAATAAACTTTTTTGCTTATAATCCATTAAAATCTTATGGGGCCACCGTTGAATCAGTGGTCCACCACTGACCGAAACATTGTTATGTGGCACAGGACTGGAAATTAAAGGAAAGACAAGTGCTTTAACTCAAGAATCAAAGTTCACAACGTTCCAGCCCCTGGAAAAGACTGAAATAAACAGAAAAGGTCCTAGAAAGAAGTACTATTACTTCTCTCAAGTAGACTTTGAGGATACATAAAATATTCTATCCAAGAACATTCTAGGATCTTAATGCATACTTTTAGCTAAATGTTAAGCTAATCGGATTAAAAACATATTTACACTTGAAACCATTACTTGTGTTTTCTCCCAGACCATGGTAACTGCTTTATTTTTAAATTACTTTGAAAGCCAAGGGCTTTTATTTTTAAACCAGAAGACATGAAAATTCTCAGAAGGAACTGTACAGGAGCACAGCCACACGTATGGCCATATAAAATGGTGTAAACAATTTTCCTGTTAAGAACTGCTGTTAGGATGACTCTCTTCTCTCTTCCTCCCAAATTAAAAATACTTGCATGATTTCACAAGGCTTTGCTTATACCATTACAAGCTGTGACTGGGTTAGGTGTTCACTTTTAAAATCTCCCAAATGCCAAGACTTGGATAACCAGACAAACTTCAACTGTCACTGGCCAAGGTATATACAATGGGAACGTACACCTGTAACCGAAGGGTGTATTCATAGCTTTACAGGTGCTCTAAGCTCTTTTATTTCCCTTTTAGTCCAGAGAATCTGACTGCATATACACAATTTGACTATAACAAAATGTTATTTTCCCTATTCACGGTTTTTTAATTGTCATCTAGAAATTTTGCATTTGGAAGATATATTTTATCAATCTATTGTGTTCTTATTCCTTTTAATCTCTATTATTTATTCCTTTAATCTTTTCCCACAATTTATTCAACTTTTATTTTTAACCGTACACTCTATTTACATCCACTTTAAAATTTGTTAAATGTAGAAATATAAATGCTCACTGAGAAAAACTAAAAGGCTAAAGAACATAACAAAAACTATCCGCAAACCTACCATTCGTAGAAAAACACTGATACCATTTGGTCCATTTGAATTCAGAATTTTATTACATGCATACAAATACTAAATATATATAAGTATGTATGAACATATATTTATTTAAAGGTTCTGATTTCTTTTCCTTCTGTTTTTAATCTTTATTGGTTTGTTTTAACCTTTATACTGTTTCTATCCTTTGGCTATTACCTTAAGCTTAACTAAAGTCCAATTTTGAAATTTTTACCTGTTTTGGCCACTCTTAAAAGATCTTATCTTCATATATGCATATTTGACTTTAATATTATGATTTTTTTCTCCTTTAAATTTCTGAATTCCTGTTTTAGTTCTAGAATTTCATTATTTCTGCTCCTTTTATCTGTCCATTCTCTCTAAACTCATTAGAACTTACTTTTATCTTATTGGTTATTTTATAAGTTTCACTGAGTCATCATTTAACTATGATTCAATTCATATGACCTTCGCAAAAATGCAAAACTATAAGGGCAGAAAACAGCTTGGTGGCTGCCAGGGACTAAGACTCAGGAAAAGGGACTGACTATGAAAGGGCATAAAGTACTTTCAGAGGTGATGGAAATGTGCTACGTCTTTTTATCAGCTATACTATGAATTTTATTATATGTAAATTATCTCAGTTAACACTAAACATATATATATACACATACACAAACACATTAAAGATGCGGGAAGCAGAATTGATATGATTTGGTTGAATGTGATGATCAAGGGATGTGAGCCAACAGTAACTTTCAGGTTTCTGGGTATGAAAAGGTGTCTTCTTCACTCTGTAATGGAGATGCTTCTTTGACATGCAGGACAGCTGGCAAGGATACCTGCCTACAGTTTATTCAATCTTAAAATGAATCTCTTAAAAGCCAGAATGAGCTGTAGAAAGTGCTTCTGAGGACAGAAAACTTATGGAAGGTTGGAGCAAGGCAACCATTACCAAAGCCATGGTCTTATAGCAGAAGACCTACAACCACACCAGTAGGTGTACTCTAGCCCCAGCCTCAGCCACAAGTAGGCCAGCCAGTAGGTGAACATCCTATAAGCACTAAAGTAAGTGCAATGCTCCACAATCTCCTCCAGGATCTTGCCAAAGATACAGAACCCCACTGCGTGCAGGCCATCTTCTAGTTCATAGTAAAGCACTGGCTTTTCCAAATGACCTTGAATCAATCTGTGCACTATTCTCTTGTCCCTTCTCTCACAACCATCTAGGGCTCTGTTCCTTGCTCCAGGAAGGTGACCACATGTGGCTAAGAAATGGATATACCAGTGAGACTAGGTTTGGTGTAGTTGTCAACACCAAACCTCTGCTGTACAGTTCCTCCTAGCAAGGTCCAGACATTCCTACTTATTTTAAAGAAATCTACAATCACATCCCTGAACTTCATTAATCCAGGGTCAATCTT